CGTCTTCTTACTATTCGCCGTGCTAGGAGTCTGGATCAAGCAACATAGCTGGGGATAGAGTATTGCCACAATCCGCATTATCATATTGTTTGCTCGCTGCGTGACAGAACCGTAACAGGTGGTGTCCAGGGTCCCACTGAACCGGCTTTGTTACCGTTTTTCATAAACAGCGCTTTTTATACGCTTCGATGAAGGTCGGGTTGGTAAAAGTCGGCCTTTTCAGCCACAGATCGCCCAGCGGTTCGCTGACGACCGGCAAATTCCCCATTACTTCCCGAGAGACCGATGTGACTCCAAACGCGTCTGCTGTGCGTAATAACATGAGGATTGAGACATGTCCTACTGCCTGCGTCTTCGAACCGGCCAGCGCTCGCAGTCAGGTGGGTCAGGCTATTGAGTCATGGGCTCCCGCAAGGGTCACCAAAAAAAATCAACCACATCTCGGGGTTTAAACTTGAGTCAGAGGCTAGGGAAGAGGTCCTCGAACAAACCTCACATCCTCACTGCATTGTGGATCAGAACCAAAACCCTTCCTGGATCTGGGCAACTGAGACGTATCACTCACCCTTGCAGCTCTTCATTTACCCTCACGCATCGATGCACTGCGATTAGTCCATATGCCAGTCCCCTAACCATTCTTCCATGTCCATAGTGTCGCTCAACAAGATAAGCCAAATTAATCTTTCTAAATTCGAAATGTCTGACCCGCTTTGCAACCTTCAGTGTCCGCACTTTGCCACACTGGGCAACATGTATCCGTTGAAACCTTGTTTTCCCCTGTCGATGTATGTTGTGTCTCCGATCGTGCACGTGAAACCACTGGGACGAGCTTAAATGTTTCACATTCCTGTCTTTGGGTATCTGGTGATCGTGACGCAGTGGCTAGTATCGGTGGTTTGGGAGTTGCTCTCAGTCCCAGGACTGAAAACACTTTACGGGATTGAATCCCAATAAACAGTCAGCTGTCTAACTTAATTAGAATCAGCGCAGATTGATGGGACAGTGTTTATTCCTGGTGTCATATGACATATGTCCCAATAGATTACAGTTGTGAAGCTGAGAAAGATGGGTTCTGTCGGGGTCTATCACGACTGATTTGGTTGGCAAGAAGATATGAATGCCCAAGTTGGACGACCAAGCTTGGAAGAAGCACACTTGGACGATAAATTTCGAGTTGGTCAGTTTACAAATGATGTGGAGCGACTCGTTAAGTTGTCTACTGAACGTAATCTGCTACGGGCATGTACGAGATTTCAGCTTAAGCGCTCACACCGAGTTATTTGGAGGCCACCAATTGCAAGTCAGTCGTGGACTTAGTTGGATCATATGACTGATGGTAAGCTTCGAGTACATAATTTGTCTCCGATCGTGCTACTATACGGGCTCGGTTATCCGCTCAGTTTCTCTCAGGATTATACCTACCGAGGCACAGCGATTCCTTTTATAAACTTCGGTGAGTTTTAGTGGCTCAACAGTATCGAGCTGATCGGGAGAGAAATCAACTGTAAGCGCGCAGTCACGATAATGAAGATTGGTTTGAGGTTAAATGGAAGCGAGTGAAGGAATCTATGCTCTCAGCCTTCAGAACTCTGTCCGAACCATCTGACGCTACCAAATCAACACTGGCTATTGTCGAGATCAGGTCTTATTCCAGCAACTAGTGACTGGGTAGCACACGCAGATCCCTCAAACACCGGATAATCAGGAGCTTGAAGAATGACAGAGGATGCTGATGGATTTAGAAGGCCATATCTTTACCTTGAGACAAGTTCTTAATCAAGTTTCAAATTTCCCACGTTGATCGTTTTCTTGATCCAGAGCTGCATTTGACTCTGACCGCATTTGGCTATAAAAAATGCCCCCTTTACATTTATATCCTTTATGAGAGCACTTTTTGCGAACTTTTTTGGACACTTTCTGGTATGTACCATGCTTTTGCTTGAGTTCACTGGGACCAGTGGCGTAATACAAGGTTTCTCTCACCGTTCTTTTTCAACTTTGTTATTCATACACTGCTTGAAGTTTTTGCCTGGCTCTGAAACCTAGAGCGTCGAAACGCTCCCGGGACGTTCACTCGTACAATGAATGTGAAAATGATATTTATACCCTTGTTTCAGATCTTTCATGGATGCAATTCTTGTCAACTTAAATAATTCTGCTTCAGGGTTTGCTATGTGTTCCACCTGCAAAGTGTAAAGTGTCGCTACCAGAGTGGATGGAATCAAATCCAAACTTTGCTCGCAGAAGAGGCAACCAGCGTGGTAAATAGTTTGTTTACCTGTACACTTGTATGGGTTGCGGTTAGAGACGAGTTGCCAGGGCATCTTTTGCCAAACTCTCATACCTATGGTGTTGGCGTAACCCCAGCAGCTCTGTGTAGGGTAGACTATAAATCCTGGTGGGCAATCCTCACTGTTTTCTGGATCAGAAACATGGTATGTACACGCCAAGCATGTACTGCCGGTGTCTCTAAAGCGTTGGCCGGATGCTGTCGATGATGATGATGATGTTGACCGGATCTGGTGGATTAGTATTGCTGAGGTATGCTAGACGGTTTTAGGAAGAAGGAACTTCGGTGCTCTTGCTTCATAGGTTACGTTGATTAGGACATGTACTCCGCATGCCAGAGAACCATCTGTCTCAGAGCTTCCAGTCCTTGGCTGCATCCCCCGATCTCCGATTTTCCGGTGACCGGAACTGCATCCCATGCTGTTAAGTCTATCGGGAAATTCAACAAATTGAACTTATCCGTGGCATTAGGTTTGAGTAAGGTTCTTATGCTCACATGGTTTGAACAATTTCACTTTGTGCTCAGTGCCGGGCAAACTGACTGGTTTTTTCGGGTATGATACCATGTTGCTCCATAGCTGCAACGCAACCCTACTGGAAGTTTGAGGAGAGACGGCTCAGCGGCTAGCGCGCTCCGTGGTTCGAACCAGACCTCTGCCTCTCGACTTCCCCTGCCTAGGCTTGGGCAACCTGGCAGTATCCCAGCCCTAATGTGCTGCAGCTAAACAATCATTCTTATTACTGAAAGTTTGAACAAATACTTGTTTATTGTGGTTTTGTTTTTGAAATGAAGGAATTCGCAGTGCCAGGTAGTCACACCGGGTTCGGCCTGAGGAGACGAACAAGTGTCCGGCACTATCACCAGGCGTATGTAATGTCCGTTTAGTGCAGAGAAGTTGGTGAACTCCTGATTTCACTCCACATACATGAATGCCTTTTGGGTCGCTTCATTCCACTGTTGCCTGGTAGGCACTTTGGGATTACTACCAAGGACATCGAAGCATGTGCTATACAAGCTGGGTGCTATAGCTGTATGATTCATTACACAGATTTATCAACTAACATTTTGGGTACGACGCCTTAAAGTGGACCATCTTCGAATTGGGCAAACACGTGGTATGTAGCTTCACAGGAGATATTCTCATTTACCGCTTATATTGAAAGACTGCACTTTTTATGCATCACAGTGTCGGAAAGTATCATCATTGTTACGACATTTCTCAGCATGTTGGTTGGGTTGTTGAGGCTCACTCTATTAGAGCACGTAGATGCTTTGACCCTGGGTGTCATTTTGTGAGTTTCAGTGTCACCGAATTAATTGGATGAGTGTGGGCTCCTTTACTGTTTGGTGAATCGGCACCAGGTCTGTTCCATATCGTACCTTTTCACCAGTGGTTTTTTCCAAACGACCTGCTATGACTACAGCATTGGAACAGCAGTGGTGACGAACAAAATGTTGAAGCGCTACATATGTAACGAGGACGACAACTCCCGGTAAGACCATTAACTGGTTTCGTGATGTAGTCGTACTGGGGAGGCTTTTCAATCGGCACTATTAGAGTAGCTTACTGTTTGCTATCTCCCTGCTATCCTCTCCACCTGGTTGTTTTCTTTTAGATCTCAAGAATACGTGGATTTCAGGGAGTGTATACAAAGACAGAACCATTCTATGGTGTAGACGACATGTACTTATGTGACCTACTCATTGGGGATGTCCTTATCGCAGAAGCTTGCTCCACATTCAAAGTTCAAGCACAGCTTTCGGCCGCTAGACAGGTGAGTTGACCTTTGGTAATGCCCAACTTGGTACTATTTGCGCATCGTTGGTGTCACCATACCAGCTATATTTTTAAGTTTTGTTTGTCCCCTGAGTAATGCGGAATTCACAGCCACCCAATAGTTTCCATCTCCATGTGTTGATCGGCCCGGTGGACTTCGACGATTGGTGCACTGTTTTTAAAGGTCCAATCATATTAGACAATCTCTGGAAATGTAGCCAGACAAACCGCGGCAAGCTCTAACACGAGCAATCTCACTACAAGTTGGTGTTGAAACAAAGTTGTGCTATCCCATCCAAACCAAAAGCTACCACCTTGACAAGATGATCGGTCCTGAGTACTGCAGTGGTTCCCTGGGTTGCACTTACCGAAACCTCAGTTCGCCGCAAGCTACGGTTTCAAAAATTCCAAAAGGAATCACCCAGATAAAGAGCAGCAAGACCTCCACCCGCAGATAATCGTACTAGTGGATGGTTCGGGTGTAGAGTTGTACTGTCCTCTGCGACAAAATCGCGACGTACATTGTTTTCCCCAGATGACTGGCATGTCCACATTTATGGAAACACCAATGCTGAAGCGCAGTTTGGAGAAGGCTGGCCTTAAAAACTGCACACCGATCGCCCAAAGGTTGATCTTGACCGCCGATGAATTATAAGATGTGGACTGATTACAAATAAAACCAAGCGTCTGGTGAATATCCATACGCCTTCGTTATGCGCAGAAGCATCAGGATCATGCTCGTGCTAGGCCACCCCCCTACAACAGAGCAGTTAGAAGTAGACCTAACGAACAAAGATCTTCGACTTACTTTTGATTCAACAGCTGAGTGTGGGGTATCTCAGCGGAGCCCCTATTCTCTGCCTGGCGATCAGGAAGTGTCATTCGCCGTCGCGGGTCTTTATTCACCGTTGACCCCGACCGATTCCTTCCCACACTTCAAGCAGACATCGCTGCATCAATTGGTTGTTGGTTATCTGACTAATGTGCGTAATTCACTTCCGTTATAGCACGCGATGGGTACGACAGCGCGCGCGCAACCCCCTAAACCATATAGTGTGGACTTTAATGACTGACTGGGAACTCCCGTGTACAATTAAAACCCAGGAGGTGGGGAGTGCTTTTATTAAAAGAAACACCATATTCTGTACCACAATACGATCGGCTGACCGACGGAAAGCAACTGTAATTGAAACGACAAGCGGAATTCATCCTCAAGAAAGTCGATTAAAAAAGTGGGCTGAACATTTTGAAGAACTGTTTGGCGGGCCTTCTGCAACATTCCCAGGAGACAGTGCATATAGGTGAATAAAAATAAAATATGAAAAGTCCCTTCTAAAGCGTTATAAGGTATCAGGATCAGACAGTTTATTTCCAGCCCTTCAAAGAAGTCGAATAATCTATGATTACCCACTAGAGAAAGCTTATTGGTGCTATATAGAATAAAGTATCTGCAGGATGAGGCACATACACATCAAAATGGGAACAAAAAGCAGAGTGGTTTGAGCCTAGTAGCAGTGACCTCATAAGTGGCCTCATCCAAAAGTTGACTGAACACAGAATCAGGTTGGTTAACAACACGTTGGGTTCCGTTCCTTAAGTGGATGCATTGATTAATTGTTCACTCCGACGGGTCTCGGAACAGCGACACCACTTCCAATCACCAACAGTTGTTTTTATTGAATTGAAATCCACTGCAAGCGTTAGATCGTCAAACATTATGACTCTTTTTGGACCAAAAATGTCTTCCATGAATGGCTGATCCTTTTTCAATTGCCCTACGCCAACTCTCTGAGACGCGGTGAGCTAGCGCATCCTTATTCGTTTTTTTTCTTCAAGTTCGTCATCAATATGACCATGAAAGCCCCAGCCTGTAATGCCTATGAGATCGAAATGCCTCTGGTGCGTTTTCTAGAAAATATTGAGTGCACACAAAACAGCTCTTCTTGTATCTGATGCCATCGTGATTCAGACATCATATAATTCTAATAATCTTGCCTCAACTTGGTATGTGCTTCACATCTGGGGAATGTGGTAGCAAGACCACGTGAGGTCAATCCCAAAATTCATGCTTGAGAATGAGTCAATCGAGGTTCTAGATAAGTCTGCCTGTCTGGCGGCGAGATGGCTCAAGTGCGCGAATTTACTGACCGGAAGGTCCGTGGTTCGAACCGGATCTCTTTCTCTCGATTTCCCCTGTCTAGGTTTGGGTAACCTGGCAGCATCCCAGCCCTCGTGCTTCCTTCGGGTGGCAAGGCAGCTAGGCACCTGTATCAACCCTGGTGGTCTAGGCTGAGACAATATTCCCACCCGGATCGGGAGGGTCAGAACCAGTTTTGTCGAGTTGCATCCTAGTGCTTGGCATCGTGTGGCTTGACAGCAGCTTATCTATCAGGATTCGAGTCCCTCATGCTGGGGTACAGGTATTCGAACAGTAGTTTCTTCCGACGATCAACAGTGACGGTTCGGAAGTTACTATAGAATCTGACAACCACCATAAGCTCTGAGAACCATCAAACGACGTTCCAACTAAATTCTTCTCTCGCTATACGCTTAAACTACTGGTCACCCACAGGCTGTATCATTCTTTCACCCAAGTTCACATCGACAAGTGGTCTAAGGCCCTGTTACCATTTCTTCCCCGCTTCATTGTAAATGTGATGCAACTTCTGTGCGTATCCCGGCATCGAACTGCTTCCGTGCTGTTTGATTACGGATTTTGAGTAGATAGGTTGCTGCTGCTGGTGGACAAGATCCTCCAAGCCACTTCGAATGACTTTACTTTGCTGCAGATTTTAGTGCACGCTTTGTATACGGGAAGTTTAAAGCGCCTCCGCATTATTCGGCGAGAGCAAATCCAACTAATGTTTGCCGATCAACCGATCGAGGTGGTAAATAAATTCATTTACCAGGGTGTTTGTCTTAGCGTGCTGGTGGAAGAGCTGGGAAGGTGAGGGAAGACTTCATTGACCTACGATATCAATTGCATCGGAGTGATGTCATCTGATCTTTTGAAGGCTGAGTGTACACTATTGCCGTGCACTCCTGTATTGTTTCTTTGAGTAGAGACGTCACCGGTTGCAGAGAAGTAGAGAGACTCCGTATTTGGTCACCGGTGTCTCCAAGTTTGGTGAAAGCGTTGGTCACCAATGCTGAAATGCACCAGATAGTTTTTGGAAGAATGAAATGTCACTCCAAAGGCCATATTGATTAGGGTAAATGCTTCGCATACTAGAAGCGTCTGTTTGCCTCGCACAACTTTCTCTTTCAGCTTTGTGCAACAGTCTGACTTAATACAGAGATGTGACTCACCCGGCTTGATACCCTCCATCTGTCTGGATGGGAATACCGGAACATTTCACCACCGTGCGATAACAGTGACTGGATTGGCCCGGCGTCGTGGCTAATATCCCTCTTGTACCAAAACTGCCGGCTTCAATGTGTAGCTGTTTTGTTATTCGATCGGGACGGTTTCGTGCAGCTGAACCGGCCGCGGCATAGCCTATTTTTCGGTGAAAAAAGTTGTAGCAGCTTGTCCTTGGAACATGGTTACTTGCCTAGTAATGGAACCAAATTGAGGAATCGGTCTTCAGTTTGGTCGTATTCGGAACCTTCGTACGCACTGGAGACCGAAGTGGAGATCTAAAAGCATATGATTTATGGGCTCATTTTTACTTCAGGTTGCTATCCGTCCACTTGTTTGGGGGTTTTGTCTTCGAGGTCTCTAGGTCTCTAGGTTTTCGCTGAAATAACTCCTAGACTTGGGAGCTATTCGCTGGTAGTGTGCATGGTATACATATACTTTTGAAGTTCCATATTTGGGTTTGCTTCTGTTTGCACGCAAGAAGTATCAGTTGCGTGTTTTCGCTTGGATGGACGAAGGAATCTTAAACCGTGCTATCATTCGTGCCTTCATCCTCACAGGCCTTCCGAGTTTTCTCCCAACCATGTTTTTTGGTTGGTTCCATTCGAAGATGGGATGAAAGTGACTATTTGGTATTGTGTCTCAGTCCCAAGGCTGAAATGGTTCCACAACTGCCTCCGTTTCTCAGTGACCCCTTCGAATCCCTGTCAAAGAAAGATCGCACTATCCAATCTGAGGAAAATTTCGAGGTTATCAATCCTAAACCTGCTGAAGAACTTTGGATTTTTATGGCCAATTACCCTCTCAGTGCTCTTGATGAACAGGTCAGTGGTACTATTTCTTCTGGTTGGTTGGTTTTCTCTTTACGGATGATGTGAGGAACGTTCGTCGTGAGTCTTAGTGTGGCGGAAACCGACATGACAGCCGCTGTTCGCAAGGTGCTTTCCGGTACTGCCATGTAAAAACACATTCACTACCCCAAGGTTTTTGACCTCATGCAGCAACATCAGCCACTCTAAACCTTGGTACGGCTTCGTGGCTGGGAACATGAAATTAACTGATTTTATCTGCTTGAGTGGGCTTGTATATCTTCAGCTCTCAAGAAAGTTCGTCATAACCTACCATAAATGTCTTGAAATGCCCATGTAGGATCGCTCGCAAGTTGGTAGGCTTTTCGTCTCACGAAAGCTTGATAACCATCAACCCTATAAGTATGCTTCGAATTGCTTTGCGTATGGATACCTGGTCGTGTCTTCTGATTCGATTGGAGCTCACTTGCAACAACTGTGTCATAGTACTCAGGTATTACCGACTACTCACTGAATATTTAATAAGGTAAGCCAAAGTAAAATGAGGCAAATATGTAACTGAGTTATTCTGCCGTTGTTTCCACCCTCTGTCAAGAGCATCGTTAAGGTCCAATATGACAGCTACCACTTATTGGCGAAAGCAAGGCGACAACTTCGACCCCATGCCACCCACACGCTATTTGTGGCATTTCGGGGTGGTGACCGTACTTGAATCCATTGCTACCTCATTGCTACCATGTACCTTTTCGCTTATTCACTGCGCCTACTCACCAGTCTTGCAGACAGACTCCAATGGAGTCGTCTAATTGTGAGCTCACCCCTGTAGTTTTCTGCTTGAAGTCTCTGGGGGCTATACAGTTGCTCAACTCTCATAGAACTGAAGAACGAACTCGAGATAGTTCAATGGTTAACTCTCGGACTTACTAACCAGAAGGTCCTTGGTGCGAAACCAACGCCTGCATCAGAACTGCTCCCGTCTAGGCTTGGGCAACCTAGCGGTATGTCAATCCTCGTGCTTCCTTCCGGGTGTCATGGAAGCCTGACACAGGATGTCACAGCTGAACATTCTTTTCATAGAATTCAGAAGCTATTTATCCGTAAATTGGCTTGATGGAATTCAGGCTCTAAAACCCTCCGGTAGCAACAACGAGCTGCCAGTTGACTATAGTTGACAGTTTCCATATGATTCACTTCTTTTGGATATAGACCTAGTGGCTAAAACTGGTGCCCAACTGTGCTCTAGCATTTTACTTTTCTCGTTCTACTGAATTCCAGATGCATTGGGATCGCATTCTCGCTCAATCAGCTGAATTCAGCCAAATGACAATCAGCTTCGAAGTTGAGGTGAATACAGAAAAAGGAACATTCGTCTGTTCGGCACTACTTGATAATCAACGATTTCCTCCAGTTTCCTCTTCGTCAGTCGACAAAGCTCAACTCGAAGCTACCCGCGAACTTCTCACGAGCCTCCGAAAAACGCAACCTGTTGTCGGCTTGCAGGCTGATTGTATAAGTAAGGACTGGGAATACGTAGTTGCATTTTAGCTTTTTGGCACGCGACCAGTTGTTTTCTTCCAAAAACTTGTTTACTTTTGGATTTCAAGTCGGCAAGTCAGAGGTCTGACTGAAAATCTCTAAAGATGCCATCTTTTTCCTGGAGAGGGTGGGTGACCTATCGTATTAAACTATTGATCTTATGCTTCCAGCCATATTCCATCGACCGTCTGTGCATTCTGTCGATACAGAACTCAAGATGCAGTTTTTGGTCCATTACTGGTAGACAGATGAATGATTGAAGCTTACTTTCGATTTTGGGCAGCTGCACAACCGTGATCTTGAGATTGATCATTTTCTATGAGCTTGAGCCTTAAACTGCAACCGATATGGCGATATCTACGGGTTACGTTAATTATCCCTTGTTGGTGCTTGCTTTTTCTACGTTGATTGGAATTGTTTGAACACATTATTCCTAGGTAATACAAATGAAGCCACTGTTTTGAACCGAAGGGTGAAATTCTGGGAGCGCTGTCAGTTTCTCCATGTAAAAAGTGATTGTTCCGTGGGACGGTTAAGCTCGATTTGAACCGTTCTTGCCCGTATTCATAATTCTGTCCAATTTATCATCTGCATTATTATTATTATTATTATTATTATTATTATTATTATTGGAGGTCGGTAGCGTCGACACCCAACCAAATTTTAATGCAAACCGCTAAACATGATATGCTACCACAAAGACGTATCCCATATATGGATCGTATATGGATCGATCGGTATTTTAACTGAAATTTTCCAGTGAATACTGTTGTTGTTGCGTGTCCGAGGCTCAGTAATGGACATTCTTATCGTCATCATCATGGACAACAGTACCTTGGTGGTGCCGTACAACCGTGTAGGATGAAGGCCCTGTTAAGGATGAAAGGAGGGGAATGGGGACTTTTGCAAAAAACTGTATGTTCGTAGGGAAAGGATTGGGAATAGAGTACACACCCGCGGTAATCAGTGATATAACACATTTGGGTGTGAGGTTGGAGCAAATTTTCGGTTTGGTCAAATTCCAGTAGAAAATACTGAGCTGATTTGAGGAGGAAAGCGTATTCGCAAACTTTGTGAGGTGAGGAGAGTAGATGAGCTATTCCAGAAAATGCCCCCCTCCATTCGGTATCCTCGAAAGAAGATTGCAGTGAGGAGAAGTTCGTTATTGCGTTGTCACCAGAAGAAACCTGTATCCACAAAGGTCTTCCGAATTCATTTTTGAACTACTATTAAGTTTGTTTTTACCAACAGACAGTATCTTTTGACTGGAATTACAGCATCCATAGGGACAAGTCTTGTTCAAAATACCCATATGCAACAGTCCCTACTTTTTTTTAGGTTCCTTCAGGTGGGCTTGTAAAATTTGATTTCATAACCATGTCCTGTCGGGAAAGCTAGTCAGGCAAATAAAACTCACTGGTTTGTTCTTTGATCCAGGCTATTAAACCTCGGTGCATTGCACATTACGATAGGTGATCTGGACTCAGTTTTTGCTCCCCTTAGGACATGCTGTATTGCTGACGACTACTGCATCCCACTACATTCACGAGTCCCGATTGGATGGCATTGCTTTTGCGGGACCGTCTGCCTTCGATTTGGAGATACCAGGAAGATTCAAGAGTGCGGACTTTTTCAGCTTTGTCTCAACTCTTTGTTTGATCTGCTGTTTATTGTTCACCACTGGATTTTCACGCGTGAATTTATTGACCGGAAGGTCTGTGGTTCGGACCGGAACTGCCTCTTGACTTCCCCCGTTTAGGTTTCGGCAACCTGGCAGTATCCCAGCCCTCGTGCTTCCTTCGGGTGGCATGGTAGCTGGGCACCGAAAGGGACTGCAGCTGAACGATTTATTATTATTTTTGCATTTTCACAGAGGACAGTGGATCTCTAATGGGAGTTCCCGATGGTGTCCTTGTCGATACGCTGATGTGGGGCAAGGAGGAACTCGAGCTCGCAATAGCAATTGAACAACTTGAAGCACATTGCGACGTCCCGATTCCTTCAGATGCTGAAGTTGGCCCAGGTAGTTTTTATTTTCCAATAGATTGATCCTCCTAAACCCCTTTAGTTTCTTCCCACTAAGGTTTTGGAGTTTTAGTTGTTTTCCTTATTCCCATTCGAATGAATTCAGTAGTCCAAAACCAGGCCTACTTACTCAAACTTCGTACTGTTATTGTCGTTTATTTACTAATTATTGTGATTATACTGTTATTGTTAATATATTAAATCCAACACCGGCGTATGTTGCATCACTGTTATACAATTGACGGAACGGTGGAAAGCTTTTTCACTAGTAACCACTTTGTTGATCTGTGTGCATTTCTAAGATACCGAGTGTCGCCTAGATCGTTGCTGGTTCGTCATTAAGATTCTACCGAACTTTCCCAGCCTACGTTCCTTCTTTACTGTGTTGGTGTACTATAGGATTTGTCGGGTTTAACTTTCAAGAGCAACACTCCCACTTTTTCAGCCTTGCGACCTCTGGCTTACGTCTTTGGTCAGTACATCGACCCAGCTGACCGAGAATTTCGAATGTTTGCGACTTCACAATAGCGTAATCGGAAACCAATAATTATTACCGTTTGTTAAAAGTATTTTTTTGTAAAGCTGACTTCGTTCGATTCTACTTTCGCCTATTCAGATGTTCTCGATGTTCAGTTTGTGCATGCCTTGGTCTTGAGACTGCCGTGTTAAAGGAGAGTAATAAAATCTACTGTCGACCGTTCTTAGTGTTTCGCAGAAGTGCTGTTTGCCGTTTGCAGAGAATGTAACATAGCAAACAATACATGCTTCATGTCTGATTCGTTTAATACTGTTAACACATTCAACAACATTTCCTGATTGGATGTCAATATGTTTTCCCTTGGTTTGTTTCAGGATCGAAAAATGTCTCATCTACACCCATCACCAATCCAAAGGATCGATTTCGGTCAGCACGTCGCCTGGATGCTTTCTTGCAAGCCTATGCAGCATCCTCCTTAGTCACACCGTTACGTTTGTCACGTTCCGTCGTCCCGCCAAACTTATGGGCAGAGGTGCGTACAATGTCTTCCAACTGGGGCTTATTGTGCCAGGTGGATTTTCCACCGAATACTCGCGAAGCTGCTGCTCTGTTTGTGTGCAAAAGGGCACCATTACCCCGCCTTAAGCGCACGCTTTACGACCAGGAGAATTATGGTTGCCTCCGGCTGTTAGATAAGGGCAATTTGTCGTCAGCTGCTTTGAGGCGCTTGCTTCTTTCTGATCCATTGGTGAGCGTCAATGGTAACGGTACTTCGTCACCAACGTCTTCACCTGAAGCACAGACGGTCTCGCCCGTACATGCCTTTCCCCCCCGCAATACTTCGTTGTTCCAAGAGGATGATCCATATGGCGACGAGCCCGTTACACGCTTGGCCCGACATTTTATAGCGACGGCCCCTCTATCCAACGTAAAGATGGAACCCGAAACGCATGATAGTCAGGTGCGACCTATTGATGATTGTATTTTAGTGGGTGCGGAACTCAATCAACCTTCAACGGCTATCGAAATTTTGGATGATCTTCCTCGAACGCTGATACCGGGGATAGATTTCTAACGCACTGTTCTCAGTCCCATTCTTGCACCATATACAATAGCGCCTTCAGTCTTTATAGCATTTCACCCTATTAGTACTTGGTGTACATCTGAAATCGTGCCTCCCTCCGGTATTACATCACCTGTATATGATGTATGTACAAAGCCCTGACATGAGAAAAATCTTTCATACAATCGTTCTTTTCAGTTTTGATTGCATCCGTGGATTTTATATTTTTGCCTTGGGTTTTTATTCAATGCAATGCTCTTTTCTCTTTTTCATATCTTTCCCTGAACCATCCACCTGTCCTGTCGGATCAATTCAACGGACGTTCGCTTGGGAACATGCGCGTGTCTTCTCTTCACGCGTAGCTTGAAAGCCACATCACGGAACAGTGTACGGGCCAATCTGCGGCTAACTTATCACCCCTAACTAGTTACTCGTACTGAAAGATGTTTTGAACAACTCATACTCTCCGTTCAATGATGAAACGCGGTACTGCAGTCTAGACGTACTTCCGGATTTCCCAGTGGAGCTTGCTTCGACAGTTCTAATTGTCAAAATTTAAATTGAAGGATTTAGGTGTATTTTCTGACGAGCTATTCACCACTTCTCGAAGACAACGTCGGTTTCAACAATTCTTCGTTTACCTAAGTGCTAGTAAGTGCAGCAAATGGTAAACGTTCCAGCAGAGACTGTCGGATGATCGCTTGCATTCAAAGAATCTGGCTTGAAGGAGAGCTGATGTTTTGTTAGCCACACTTAACTGCTTAACTCAATATTGTGCTAGGTGAGTACCTTTCGACTCCAAGGTTTGAATGATGTGGGAACGCGTGGCCATAAAAATCCGGGTAGTTATTAGTTGACGCGGATGGGCTGTGTAGTCCCTGTCATATATTACTTTCTTCTATGCATTTGGGCTAATTTAATGATTTCTGTAGATTTTCAAATTTCAGTGTTTCCTTGCCCGCGGTAACTGTAGTAGAACAAATGTTGACGGGCTGCAAACAGGATTCGGAGTACATGTAATTTGTCGACATACATACGACAGTCATTCTCTGCAGTTTGTCGTAGTATTGCTTATTTTCCATGCAATGCACGGTATTGTTGAGCTTGCTTTCACTTATTAACCAACGCATATATCTCCATTCACCTTCAGCAGAAGGGTCGCTAATTTAGGGTTTCATTGTCAGTCGTTTAAATTAAATTCTCGGTTACGGACATTGAATCACATAAGGTGTTTAGTTTGAGCTGTTTCGTACTCAACCTGTGTAGATACACCTGAGGCCTCGGTCGTTCATTTGGTACATAACCTATAGCTCACTGATAAGGTTATGGAATGGTCTCGCAATATGTAATTAATGAGTGGATCATGTATACATACACTTCTACCGTGAGATCGAAGGCCTGATAACTCCAGGCAGACTTCGTTATGCCACTTTGGCTTCCAGTGTCTGCTGCATATTAGAAAAAGTACGTTATCGTCACCTGACACCACGAGGACGTAGGCAAGATGCTAGTCGCCACGGTCCGCGTTACCATGATCACGCATGTCGTCTCTGTGTTAGCCCTTTGAGCGTTAGTCAAGCCCCCAGAGCGACGCTCACCTGTTGGGTGGGCCCCCACCCAACAACGTGTTGAGTAGTCGCTCTGACGACCTTAAGATCATGAAGGTCGGAAAACTTGATGTATGAAACATTGTGATCAGAGAGATTCTTTGCCGTGTGGCAGCAATATCTTGCCTCAAATGCCATTCACTATGTGGTACGTTTGTTTGCTTAGTAAAAAGGCGGAAAGAAAAGGGAGTAGTAGGGACTTGGTGCGAGAAAGCCAAATGTCCTCAATGCATTATTCATGCTACGTATGGTTAGAGTTTATTTTCCACTGAGAGGACGTATTAAGATAAATGTTTTTTTCGTGGTTCCAGTGGGTTTTCTGTGATCTCATTATCCAACTGGTCTATACATCTAGTTGTAAAGCCGTTATCCGTGCAACGTTTGAGTTGCTCACATAAACTACAATGTTTCTGTCACCACACGTGGTTGCGACTACAATTTACTTCGTTTGTTAGGTCGACTGGTTTGTGCTCAGTTTCCACTATTGGTGTCCCACATAGATACTGTCAATCAGCAGTTGAAATATACCTTTAGTTTCGCAGTCATTGATTTCTCGATCGTATTCAGTTCTTGTTTGTTTGTGGCCGCAGCGTAAGACTGCTCGGTTCGCCCACTTGCTAACAGTTTATTACACAACTCCGAGAAAGCTATTGAATCACGCTCATCGATGGCAGTGCAAACGTGGCATGCCAAATGTATGTTGCGGTGGAAAGCCCAGTTCATACAAGGTGAAGACTATAAACGGGACGAATTGCTGTGAAAGAGGAGACACGTGACTGGAACGCGTGATGGTCTTCATGGGTAGTTGACTAGTCTCTGGCGCTGTGCAGCTCATAACGCCTGGTCTAACATGCACGGGCATTCGCTATTTCACTGTACCCTCGTTTTCTATTTTCAGCGCATTTCACGATGTTCGAAAGAATCTTGTTACGTTCTCGGAGGTTCGATTACCCCTTTGATCGTTGCTCCCGGTTACAGGTCGCGTTACGCATCAAAAAAGGTTATTCTACTAGTGCGACTGCCTGAGACTACTCCTTTGTTGTCCGTTTCCAAGAGGCCTAACTTTTTTCCGTTAAACTGGAGCAGTCAGTCGCATTTCGATGATCAACCGATAGCAATCGGTTTCCTTATGGGTCCCTTACCCTAGTACATCTATTAGGAGGTGATTCTCCCGTCACGTCCAAGATAGTCACTTACTGTTCATCAACTGGTCTTCATACAGTAAAGTAGCGGGCTGAGCCAGTTTCACCTATCATGTGCTTTTTTACACAGCGGACAAAAGTGTTAAATATGACCCTCATGGTCAGAAAGTGAGCAATCGTTTGATTGATCGGTTGGTGACATTCACTCACATTACTCTGGGGCGATCGGTCTTAATGCTGTGATTAATATTCTACATTGGATACCCAAACATTGAGGACGTACCCCGTATCAGTAGGCGAGCATAATCACGCTCGAGGTATGTGTGCTGTTTACCAGCTGCCGTTGGTGCATCGAACGCTTACCTGCCGCATTGTGAACGTCCAAACGTGAACAAGATGAACAAGCATTATTCTGTTGCACAACTTTTAATCCAGGCTGAATGACAATAATGCATCAACTCCTACCATGGTGCATCTAACTGATCGCACATGTAAAAGGCAGGTCCGCACGAAGTAAGGTGCACATCATTGTAGAAAGGTCAAGGTTAGCGCTTAGCTTCTACGCAACTATATCAGAAAAAAGTGCCTCCATAAATCCGGGAAAGTAGGATTAATGTATCCGAAATATCGCTAGCTCGGGTGTGCTTGCTGGTCGTTGGTCAAGTGGCTGTTGGCCTTTTAACCCACTCATCCGCGAGCTGATGACGTCTGCGCGTGTGGAGGCGAAACGCTTAGAAGTTAATTGCGAAGCCTGACTAACAGATCAGCCACCATCTGACTAGCAACTAATAATGTTTCGGATAAAAATAGCCCATAATGATCTTTACATACCGACGAGAAGCAACTTGCTTGCACCCTCGAAGCTCGTGGTCTTACACCCAATCAGGTGACAGTTTTAATGCTCTAACGGAACCCGAAAACTAGTTGTACGAACGAGAAAACGGGGAGCACTAACAAAATCAGCCTGTTGAGTAAAAATTATTACAATAGGTGTATATGCGAACAAGGGGACTTATCGTGTTGCAGATTCAGGTTGGTAAATCCTGTTGTGAGTCCGGATGTAGGTTTCATGTTTTATTCGCTGTTGTAGCAGCCACACGTATTCCTGAAAATCCGTGAGTGAAGCGCCGTAAGTCCCAAGTGGCTCCGCTACGAGCTGGGTGACGTGCGAAGCTCCGTTGAGTTGTGTCATGTTGCTGTGCTGGCATCCTATTTGTAGGACGTTTGCGTGTGTGTGGGTATCAGCACATGACTTGTTGCTACCGTATCAGACGGTAGACAGTCGATATCGGATGAGTCACCCTTGTGTATCGTGGTTTGTACGGGTAGGGAAAAAAACGAGGTCTTGGGATCTAGGGCTTGACTGTGAGCTTTGTAGTCAAATTAGTCACGATTGTGTGGTGTGATTTGTGAGTGCAAGGAAAAAAGATAGATCTCTTTATCCAGCGAGTTACGGTGACCTGTACAATCATGTATGTGGCGAAAGTGTAGCTACAACAGCAACCCTTGGAATAACGGGAACTAATGGACATTCTCTGGAGGAGTCACTAAGAGTACTCAGGTCCCTCATTGCGCGTAAAGCATCATCTGTTTCACAGTTCGGCGGCTAAACATGGACCACCTCATCCTGCTTCCGCGGTTTGTACCTGTATGGCCGGCAGTGAAAATACAGTATCATTAAGGTGTGCTTACAAAAATATGCTGTCCTTATAGGACAGCATATTTTTGTTCAGGCATACATTGGATGAGCTGTTTGAAGTGATCCATTTCTATTACACTACTGACGGAGTTGCGCATCCTCTACAGCTCAATTTTACCGTGTAAAAATGAGGGCATTAGTATTCTCACTACATTCGGACAAGTTGGTGGCATCACGTGCACTAGACTGTTGCTTCATCTTTAGAAGGAAGGGTTGCCGTAGGTCGTCTGTAGTTGACAAATTGATATTTGGAAATCAGTGATGTAGGTAGTTTCCAAACTGTTTCACTTTTTTTGCGTGAACTTATCACCTCTTACTAACAACTTAATTGCATCTATTCACCAATTTAACTCCTTGGTTTATAATCCTAGAACATAACCTCATTATGAACAGTGCTGCACTGTCTTTGCTTACCACTTCTAATTGACCACGTGAAGGCTGTCCATTGACCCGTATGACCTGAGCCCATTTTTACACGCCTCCATTACAAGTCATATGGGAACCTGAAACCATTTGGATATTATCAACGGTCGAACGTGTCACATCACCACAAGCACTGAGGCGGTTAATGCCATGTCCGCGATGACCAAGCAGCGTATGCGGTCCATCTACGACTATTTTTCTTCGAGAAACTTTTGTAGTTAGCTGGATAAACTGCTCTCCACAAACGAACATGAGTCGCCAAATTTGCTGGTATAATAGGATGGGTTGAACCTACGTGCCACAATTTGATCTACTCTCTGTCTAACTAAATTGGTTGGTTTGTCCACCTTACACTAGTCAAACTGAACTCTAGAGTAAGGCTAAATTCTAGAAATATTTATTGTGTCGATCGGTTGTGTTACTGGGTC